TTTGAATTCACTAATATAAAAAAATTAAATTTTAAATAATTTTTCTTGTAGTTTTTTTTTTTTTTTAAAAAAAAAAAAAAAAAAAAAAAAATAAAATAAAATCACTCGTCGCGATTTATACAAGAGTTGATTTCGTGTTTATTACCTTGCTAAAATTATTGTTTAAAAAAAGAAATGAATGTAAATAAATAAATACACGAATTTACAAAGTGCATTTAATAAATCAATGCGTGACATAGGACAAGTATAAATGCCATTTTACTTGTCCGACATTAAGAAATTGATGAAATTGATTTACTTTATAGAACAATGAGAATCTTCCGAATATCGTCGTACAACAAAATAAATTAAAATCTTTCGATATTTGATTAAAAGTCTTTTTATTTACAGAATAGAATTACAATGAAATCAATTCATTAAATATTCTTCTTATAATGGTCCATAATTAGTTAATATATAGCTAAATGACAACTGAAGCAGGAACTGAATAATTTTATAACGTGGACTAAATGTCTTTAGAGATGATGCAGAGCCTTTTCCTACTTCATCAGGGTTTGGTTTATATGGGTTTGGTAAATCCTGAATTTGATATCTTAATCAAAAAAAAAGAATGTTTCCTCAAAATTAATAATATAACAAAACCAACTTTCTAGTTTCATTTATTTAAAAAAAATGGAAAAAAACGAATACTCACCCCAATAACGTTAATATTTCGGTTAATTTAGGACCAATGGGACCACCGGCGTAATTCTTACCTAACCGAATAGATTCTTTTAAAGAAACACCGGGATCTTGTAAATACCTCATCAAGAAATCAGGAGTATTGGTATAGGTTGCGTAATCACAATGACTGATACTCGACTTTGGTCTGTAGGGTATAATTGAAGTCTCCAAGATAAAGGCATCTTCAACATTATTCTTGTTCAATGGTAAAATTCCAAGAGATTTAGGCGTGGTAGCTCTCGTCATCATTTGTTGAGAAATTGTGTATTGAGGAGAAGAAAGGAAGCGAATCGCGAAAGAATTCAAGAAATCATCAATTGAATCATATTTAGTTCCAATTCCAGGAAATTTATTCAATTCTGCGGTAATATCAGATGCACGACTTCCCTCGGGTAATAATACCATAAATTGATCAAATATGAATTCTTGAAATCCACCAAAAATAATTTTTCCGTCATCCTCTTGAAATACAAATGGTGATGGCGTAACGATATCCGGTATCCCTAATATTTCACTATATGAATCCCACCCGCTGGCAAATCCTAAACCATGAATTAATTCATGTAAAATAACGAATAAAAAATCCGATTGACCCGGTTTAATTGAACCGTCTTCTTCAAACCAATAATCCGCCTGACTATTAAAGTATGCATTGATATCATATTTATAAAATCCTAGATCAATTCCTTGAACCAATTGTTTTAAAAGAGCTTGAGGATACACCCTGAGCACACCATCCGGACCTTCTAACGGAATGAATCTAGCGGGTCCAGCACCACCTAAAGTTACGTGACCCATTTTATCGGGACATTGACCTATTTCTTTACAAAAATCCAATAAAGTGGCATTAACCACCAATTGTGTGTTGAGTTCTATGGTGGATGTTATAATTTGTCCCGCCGTATCAAATGACTTCTTGACTTTTTGACATAAAGCTGAATTATCAACATTACATTTAAATGATGTTATAAACATTTCAGAATTATTTGTGGGAGCTCTCTTTTTAATAGCCGATGATTTGATCATTGGACATGATGTTTGAATTCGATACCATGAATTCAATGGATCCGGAACGTCCCAACATATCGATCTGGTTATGTTAAATGATTGATGAAAGGAGCATACATTGTTTGTGAAACAAATCAAGAGAATAAATAATATTAGTGGAGAATGAAATTTCATCGTTCCTTGAAAGAAAAGGTTAAAAAAAAAAAGGAGAGATCTGAGATTTGGGTCTCATTCGTTTATATACGTTTTTTTTCGTGGCGCAAACTGTTTAATTTAGGTGTTTCGTTTCACAAAAATCATACTATTATTTACATGAATTTAAAAGAGGAATTTCCGTGAGATGTCTAAAATTTATAATGTTACATTAAAAATAAATACATAAAATTACCCCATAAGATTGACGTCAAATGGAATTTTTAAATATTTTCGCGTCACAAAAAAGAAAAAGAGAATCACATGAAAAATTTCAATTACTAATGATTACTACGATGATTAGGGGGTAGATTCTTGGTTTACTTTAAAAAATGTTTCCATTATCAAATATTCTTTTATTCTCAAGATGGTTAGCTGTAATTGGCAAGATAATCTATTTGTTGCCATATGGAGAATAACAAGGAATTCGGTTTTTTGACAATCTTTAATATAAATTTTGGTATACTCAGACCAGGGCTGGATTTTACTGCGCACAATTAAAAATTCTCATTCATTCTTTAAATTCTCAAAATGGCAAAGCATCATTTATCAAAGATCGAAAATTGAGCAACAAAAAATCATTGTCGGTCAAAAAAAAAAAAAATAAAAATAATAAAACCACCTTGGGGTCACATCGTGTAAAGTTATCATTTGCTGAACCTTGCCATATAAATCTGCAGGACCATAGTGTGACAGATCAGTCTCCTGCGTGTCCAATTTTCTATAAAGCGGGCCGTGCGTACTCACGGGTTTAGCAAATGTAACCAACTATGGAAGTATATAAATGTGAAGAAATTTTGGTAATTGCTACCCCTAATTTTTTTTTTTTTTTCTGTTTTCTTTTGACGTTAACTCTTGAAATTGTAGCATTGACATTGTAGAATAATGCCTGCTCAAAGAGGACCACAGACATTAAGTTTTGTGCAGTGGTTCGTGCGAACAGCTGTTTTCGTTGTGTTCTATGGTTAGTATCAAAAGTTTTTTGTTCCTTCCTCGCTAGTCTATTATTTTATGTAACTTTGAAAACAAGTCAGAGAATAACACAACGCGTTTTATTCTAGCCGGGCAGTCAATTGCGCTCAATTTTTCACAATTTCTTAGCCTTCTATTTCTTTGGCCACTTCAAAATAACCTTTATCACAATTATATTAAACATACCCAGAGATGTTTTGGCATTCTTCTAGTTGCCATCAATCAATTCTTTGCACCTAGCAATTTTGTGATCACATTGGATAAATCCACTGAAGATATTTTAAAACAAAGTTGGAATGGAGCTAAAATAGATTTGGATATGCCCGAAAGACTTATATTAATAGCAAATCATCAAGTAAGTTTGGTCGTCTCTTTATTTTCTAGAAATTAATGACGAAAATATTTGCATTTCTAATACAACTAATTTCAGATATACGCTGATTGGGTATACATATGGTAAGCGTAAACGAGAGTTCAGTTAACATCCCATCCATCTACTAGATCATCGATTTAATGTGTCGCGTGTTGCATCAACTTCTACCATTAGGGTATTTTCGTATTTGGCTAACGCTCATGGTGCCATTAAGATCATCTTAAAAGATTCCTTGAAATGGCTACCAATATTTGGTTGGTAGGTTTAGTCATTCGATACTTTTTCAAATTTTATACTATATTTTAATACCATTCCATTTTAGTTACTAACATATTTGTTATATAGGGTAAGAATTGTTTATGATTATGATTATGTGAACGATTTACCCCTTTCAATTTTCATTAATATTCGGGAACGAATTATGTAACCCAATGATTTAAACCCTTTTTTTTTTTATTTCAAATATATTAATTTCATTATCTATACACGTTTCTTCTGTTTAGGGTATGCGATTTTTCCAATTCATCTTTTTGAAACGAAATTGGACTGTTGATAAAGGCCCATTGTCAAAGACGTTATCGAGTCTCTCCGCCTCCAAGGAACCTTTATGGTTGCTTATATTTCCAGAGGGAACAGTGGTATCCGATGTGACACGTATAGCGTCCAAAAAATTTGCGGATAAAGTTGGACTGGTACGTATCTCGAAAAGATCAATATTTTGCATTTCAACTATCATTGATTCCTCTTTTTTTTTTTTTTTAGCCGGATCATGAGCATGTATTACTACCACGATCCACAGGGTTATATTTTTGTACTAGATCATTGCATAAAACCGTTGATTATATATATGATCTAACTATCGGGCTGGAAGGGGTGGAGAGAGGAGAATTTCCAGAAGAGATATACACGTTATTAAAAATTTATTTTGAGGGACGATATCCTCGTAATATACATTTGCATATTCGAAGGTATGCGATTTCAGAGATACCGGAGGACGAAGATAAATTTACGGCGTGGTTAAGACAAAGGTGGATAGAAAAGGATGCATTATTGGAAGAATTTTATGCAAAAGGACATTTTACGGGATATGGTTCACCGAGGGTTGTGCCAATGAAGTTAAATAGTGTATTTGAATTAGCGCAAATTTGGTATTTCATTGTACCATTAGTTCCTTTAATGTGGTATTTTTCGAATAATCTTTTTAATAATAAGTTCACATCATCTTTGATGTGATTAAATGAAATTTTTTTTTTTTTGTGGAAAATGTATTGTTTCTGATATAAATACATATAATCTTTCTTTTATACTTTTTTAATGATATATATCAATACGGATTTTCTGTGTTTAAAAATGTAAATAAAAAAAGAATTTTTAAAAAAGAAATGTGGCATCACGCAATGCGTGCGCGTAAGTTGTGTAACCAGCAATAGTTATTTTAATTTAATTTAAAAAAAGCATGAACTCAATCCTTGTGAAATACAATTAATCAATCGATCATTAATATTTATTTTTGTTTTTAATGTATTTTATTTTTATTTGATTGTGATTCAAAGGGTTGGATAGTTTAAAAGAAAATGATGAAATGATTTGCTGAGCCACTGTCTTCGCAGTTTCACAGTTAAAATGTCAAGCAATAATCCGAATTATTTCGACATATTGACGGTTAGAAATGCGGCTTTAATTTGTACCTTTCTGATAATTAATTCGATCCTTTGATTTAACACAAAAGTATATGGCTTCGAAAAAAATTTAATCATCTTTATTAAGGATAGTTCCGTCATACACAACATGGCTATGTAAAAATCAATATAAAAAAAAATTGATGGATGTTTTACATTCAATAATAATACAAGAATTTGAAAAGATTTTTTTTTCCTAGAGGAGAAAAGTTTTTTTCGAAAGTGTTGCACAGCCACGTTTTATTTACGAATATGACGCGTGATAGTTCGCTCACATACCGGAAAATTCCTGTTCTGAACGATGATATAAAAGTCTAAGCAAGTTGTCTAAGCCTTTTTACGCACCTGACCACCGGAAGAACCGTGGGGGCTGATTGAAAGAAATTCAGCCTAAAAAGCAATTTTTTAAAGATTTTATAGCCCCATTAAATTGGAAAATTTTTCACCTCTATTTTTTTTTTTTTTTTTTTATATTTTTATTTTTTTTTGTTAGTTAAAAGGTATAAAGGAATAAAAAAAAAAAAAAAAGAAAATTTTTTTTTTGAATAAATTCAACAACAAGCAACCACGACAGCAACCAACTACCAACCATCAAAAAAAAAATTGTCAACTTTGAAGTAAATTGAATGCTTCTCATAAAAAAAAAGAAATATAATTATTTTTTTTTATAAATGTAATATCATTACACTATTCTATTACTATCCATGACTGAACCAGTTGTATATCAAACATGTCAATCGACTATAAATTGTACTTATTCAATTGTCAGTCAAATCTGTAAAGAAGGGTGGTGTATATTTGAATGTCAGAGTGATGCCGATTGCATATCAGGAGGAACTTGTTCATCTAATGTTTGCAATTGGTCCGGAAAATCAACACCACCGTTATTACAAGAAACATTATCGTCACCACAAGATTCGAATTTATACCCAGACACCACGAATTCTAATGGAACCAGTGACGGAATATTTAAATTAAATTCGCCATTTGTATTAGTGATCGTAATAATAACCCTTCTTGTGCTGGTTTGTGCTATAGTTGCCTTGTTATTTTTCGTTTTTCGTCGTAAAAGAACTGCAGCAGCTTCTCGCGGTTTAAAACCCTTATATTTATCATCGTCTTCAACTAAAAAAGACTCAAGAGAGAAAGATAGTAGAAGTGTTAAAAAACCTCCTCATCAATATGATAGTACGGTGATGTTTGAATCAGAAGATGAAGGAAAAGAAGAACCTTTTGAAGAATCATACTCTGAAGGTGCCGTTGGTTCGGCTGCCATTCCGCCGCCGCGTGTTCCTCAACGTTCTCAAACCATGTATGGAACATCGACTCCTTCGACTTCAATGGTTGAATTAACATCACCACTAGAACCTCCAATTTTCCAGCAGCATCATTTTATGGCCGCAGAAGGCAACGATCCACAGCAGCAGCCACCACATCAACAATAGGGTGAAGGGAAGGGGAAGGGTAATTCTTTGTCGAACTAGTTTAATTCATCACTTCACAATATTTATACGTTAGTAATCTTTGTATTTTATTTCTAAGAAAAAAAAAAAATATATATTTTTTTTTTAAAAAGACATGAGAACTCTTTATTATCTTTCTTTCTTTCTTTTTTTATAATTGGAATTTAAATTGTGAAATAATTTATTATAGATAATTGTGACATCGATGTTAGTCACCTAATAAAATAGATCCGTTATTATTATTTAATCTGGGAACCAACATTTTTTCATTTTTCATTTTTTTTTTTTTTTGCGATTGTCAAAAAAAAAAAACCGAAATCAGAAAATATCTTTAAATATTCTTCCTTTTCCAAACTGTTAGACTCATTGGACAACATGGCCGAGTGGTTAAGGCGTCAGACTTGAAATCTGATTCCCTATGGGAGCGCAGGTTCAAACCCTGCTGTTGTCGATTAATTCCTTTTCATCTCGTTCGAAAAAAAATTTTTTTTTTCTTTCCATCACGGATCGACACAATGTAAATAGATGCGCATGTAACCGACGCGAACAAATCATCCGAGGCGATTGATCTTAATAATGTCTGACGATTGTCCGACGTATATTTTAATTTACATTTTTTTTTTTATTAAAATACATTTTTTTACTTGATAGTATTAAAAAAAAAAAATTGGTACATAAAATTATTATAAGAACTAGCGAAGAAAAGAAAAAAATTTCTAAAATGATAAAGTGAAGGCTACGATGACAAATAAAGATAGAACGTTAAAGCTAGACGTCAATGATGTGGCGGAGGAGGATTGATTATTCGTAGACTTCCCAATAGGAATCGGACTCGGTGTAACCTGAGATTCGCTTGGTAATGTCGGTCTATAAGGATTTGGATTCTCATTCGTGGCGTATCCCAAGGTCTCCAAAACACTTTTTAATTTTGGACCAATAGGAGCTTTTCCACCGGTAGCCTTAAGAACTTGATCCAAGGTTTGACCCGGTTTGGCGTTAAAAACCTCCAAAAAGTCCGGATCACTATCAAAAGTTTTTATATCCATATGAGAAATCGATGAACCAATTCGAAAAGGTTTGAGATTCGTCTCCAAGAAAACCAAATCATTTGAGCTAGCGTTACGAGGTTGAAAGGCCATGGTCTTTGGAGTTTGACCATCAAGGATTAATTGACTGGAAGTTTGAAATTGTTTAGAATCTCCGAACGCGTTTAATAGAGCTTGTACGGATGGGAAATCGGTTCCAATCTCGGCAAAACTATTTATTTCGTTTGTAAATTCCGTCATCCTCTTTGGGGTTCCTTTCACTCTGGTGTTTACCATATATTTATCAAACGCGTTTTCTTCAAATCCCGTGAATTTTACGGGTTGACTTAATTCCGTTATCATCTCAAGAAAATTTGGATCAGGGGTTAAGGCAACAGGTTGTTCGGAAAAGTAATTGTTCCATGCGGAAGCGAAACCAAGACCATGAATGAGCTCATGTAAAATGATATATTCGAAATCGAATTGATTTTTTTTAATCACACCGTCCCCTTTAAAGAATAAGTCCGCTTGAGCATTAAAGAACGCTTGAATGTCAAAAGGTCCCCACTGAGGTGTTGGATCCAACAAAAATTGTTTTGCCAACGCTTGCGGATATTGCCTAACCACTTTATCATCGTCTAGCAAAGGGATCGACCTTGCCGCGCTCGCCGCTCCAAGGATCGAACCGTCACATTCATTAAGGGCTTTGCAAAAATCGGTGAAAGTGGCATTAACCGTTACCGGGGTAACCAGGTTGATTACGTTCGCTATTATTTCCCCTGCCGCCTTGAATGCATTTTCCGCTTTGGTACATAAAGCCTTATCAGGAACTCCGCAAGAGAAATCGAATTTAAATGCTTCATTTGCCGCCAAGGAATGAACTTCATCTTTTTGTGATTCTTTGCCTACTTCTGCCTTCAGTTTGTCTTTTGTCTTTTTTTGTAAACCACATATTGAAGAGATTTTTTTCTCGAATGGCTTGATTGGATTCGGATGTTCCCAACACGTTGCATCTACTATTATGGAATCAATGCTGATAGTAAGTAAGAAGAAAAGGATGAATGATAACGACGTCTTCATATTTAATATATATATGTATATGTTCTATTTATTAGGGTTGAATAAGTTTAAAGTGAAGGTACGGAGGCTTTCCGGAAGTCTCCTAATGAAATGATTTCCGTCAAGGAAATGAAGAAGAATGAATAAATGAGGAAATGTGACTAAAAATGAGGGGAAAGGTTGATATTTATTGTTTTTATTTTTATTGATTCATGGCACATATTTATTGCTTCCTTTCAATAAGCCACGTTGCAGAAATAACACATTTTGTTTCAGTTTTGTTTCACGACTTAATTAATACTACAATATAACATACAATACAACAACAAAAAGTGATTCTTACTGTTTCAGAGGAAGATGATTTGCTTTACACCCTTTTTTAGTTATAATTCGCAGATGGGATTTATTATTGTTACCATCAAACAGGATGACAATCTATTTTAGGAAAGAATGTGCTTTGTGGACCAACTTTGTTTTATTTATGCACGAAAATTATTTGTTCAAAAATTTTTTTTTTTTTTTTTAAATTACCTATTTTATTAGTTTAATATCACGTTGAAGATTATGATTGGAAGAGGTTGTAATGAATCGAATAAAAATATTAAATTTGTTTGCCAAGACATTTTTTTTGTAACTTCACTATCATTGAAAAATATATAAAGAAAAGAAAAAATGAAAGGAAAAGCAATGTTCCCATTGCATAATAAAGAAATTTTATTTTTACCTTGTTAAAAATAACCCTGAATTGTATTACACAGACGTCAAGGTCAACGAAAATACATTTTTTTTTGTTTCTACATCAAACAATGGAATCCAGGTCACTATGTAAGGTTTCATATATAAAAAAATGAATCACCTGCCTTTTTTTATAAAATCATCCAACATATCGTATTATATATACCAATATTTTTTTTCATTATGTTCAAATTAATTCTTAATAGAAATTGACAAATCACTATAATAGATTATTGATAAATTGATTTATAGGCATTTTAGCATATTGGTTTCATCCATTATTTTATATTATGCGAAAGAAATTATGATAATATTTTTCTGTTTCGCGAGCGAAATATCGATAACCACGCTTTTGATTTAAAAGGGATACTAATTGATGACGCTCAATAACATTGGTTTGGATAATTTTGTTTCTTGTGATTACTTCTTGATAAGTGTGGACGCGCTCCCCTTATTTTGATTTTAATCATGATATGATATCATGATTTCATGATGACGCACAATGATATTTGTTTTATTTTTTGATCGTTATAATAAAAAGGATAAAAAAATTTTGAAATTTTTTTTTTTTTTTTACTTGATTACCAAAGCAAAAAAAATCCAATTGCTAACAACCGTCCCGGAGAAAGCCTCGCGCAAATTTACCAAGATTTTGTTTTTTTTTTTTTTTTTTTTTTTTGAAATTTGATTATATATTACGGAATATTTGGAGGAATTTACTTGAAGTACTGCAATATTTATCAAGCAAAACCGAATAAACGAGATTTTTGAAATTTTTAAGCAACGTTTAGGAGATCGACCTTAAAGCATTTTTTTTTGACGATATAATTTTTATTTACAAGATTATTAACGGGATAAGTCAAATTTCTGGCATCTATGGATTATCCTTTTTAAATTGAACAACTTTAAGCTATGATTCTTTTGAATACCATAATTAGAAAAGAATGATTTTATTCATTTTCTTGGTTGTTTTGCGCGTCTAACACTGCGGATTCACAGAAAATAAATTTGTGCTACACATTTTAAAAACTAACCGAATAACATTAAAAAAAATAAAAAAAAATAAATCATATAGTATTTAAACTTCCCAATATACAACAAACTAAAGCAATAAACATTAAAGCAAGATTATTTTGAATATTAAATGAAGAAGAATTGAAAATATCTTGACCGAAATTATCTATAACATCATTATTATCATCTTCTTGGGAAGGATTATTATTTATTGGTGGTAGCGTTTGTTGTGGTGGTGGACCAGTAACAATTTCGATTACGGTAACAACACTTTTAGACACGGTTTTGATCTCTGTTACAACATACGTAGTCTTTGTTAAAATAACTTCCGTATTAGTCTGTTGAACAGTCGTTGTTGTTGATGCGGAAGTTGTTGATTTTGTGGTTGTTATGGTTGGTGACGATGGTAATGGTGATGACGGTGAAGTTGGTAATGGTGATGATGATGGAGATGGTGATGGTGATGGCGATGGTGGTTGTGAAGGGATCTTACAAACTTTGAAATCATTTTCTGGTAAATTATTAGTAGGATATCTAAAATTGTTAAAATAAATGTCAATTTAGTTTATTTAGTTTGTGTATATATATATACTGTATATTCACTATGTGCTGTTTCTTACCCCAAAGTTTCCAATAAAGAAATTAATCTAGGACCAAGTGGACTCAGAAATTTCCCCATGGAATCTTCTAGCGTCTTTCCGCTTGTTAAAGTTGAAACCATTAAGAAATCCTCGGTGTCAGCATAAATGCTTGCATCAAAATTATTCATACTAACATCATTTTGATAAGGATTGAATGAAGTTTCTAAAACGATCACATCATCATCAGATTTGGCCCCTCTTGGCAGAAACCCTAATGTAAATGGATTAACGCTGACATTTGCCATCCTTTGAACCGCTTCAATTTGTGGTGATTTAACTAATTGTGCAATAAATTCTTCTTGATCTTTAAATTTAACATCCGGTTCTTTAACGAATTCGTCAAGTGATTTTGCAGCATCATGAATTGATTGAAGTTCTTTACCACGAAATATTATATATTTATCATAAGCGTATTCTTTAAATCCTTTAAACTCAAAGTCACCACCATTTTCTTGTGACAAGGTTAGTTGTGGCGTTAAAATTGTAGGGCTTACTTTATCAAAGATCGGTTGTTCTATCCAACTAGTTTTTACTCCTAACGCGTTAATAAATTTCTTTAAAACTAACCTTCTAAAATCTATTTGATCCGATGTGATCTGTGGATCCCCCTCAAACCATAACGAAGTAGCATTCCCTCCATTAAACACAGCGCGTATATCAACATCACCAAATTCATAATGTTGATCACAATCAAATTGCTTTACAAGCGCTGTTGGATATTCTCGAATAATGTCATCATCATCCAAAAGTTCCATGGTTCTGGCAAATTCCGCGCCGCCTAATTCATTACATGATTGTTGAGCATCGGTAGGGCATAAATCTTTCAATGAGACATCGACATTAATGTTCTTCCTTAAACTCAGGTTTTCCGTTAAAATTTCACAGACCTTTTGTATCGATCGTTGCGCTCTTGCACATAAATCTTGATTGGTTTGAATTTCGCATTTATAATCGATTATAAATTTACTTGATTCGGCTGGAGCTTTTGTTGGAGGCGTTGGTATTTCAATCTTATCGACCAGTTTACATGATGTTGGAATCCTTGCGTTTAGATCCAACGCATCCGTGTAGTCATAACATTGGGCTGCGATCTCCCTAATCGATGTTAAACTTGCAATAGATAATAGAAGGAATGATGGTGGGATCTTCATGGGTTTAATGAATGTGGCGCAGAAATATGCGAATGGGTTGGTTGTATGGTTGAAATAATCAATAAGTCAACTTTTTATGATGTGATTTACTTTTTTAAGAAATATTTTGAAAAATCTTTGAAATATTTAAAGATTTTATAGATGAACGAAAGGAAGGCGGGAGATCAAGAATAACAAAGAATCATGAACAACGAGAGATTTTGCATATATGAAGAGATTTAAAGATCAAAAGGAATGTAGGGATCTTTTTGTGGTGTTTAGCAATTCTCACATTCAAAGTGGCTTGTGATAGACGCCAAAAATTGATTTTAGGCTAATATTGTACATAAAGTGTGTTTTAATTATTTTTCATTTTTTTTTTTTTTATTGGTTTCTAAGTTTCGGCTATCATCAGATGAAAAAAACCGAAAATTGATGATAAATCCGATATTATGTTTCATAAAAAACAACTCCTATTTACTCTTTTATTCCAACAAAACAATAACTTGATCCTGTGGAATTTTCTCGATGTTCAAATAATCACGTATTAGGTAAATAAAGATGTGTTCTGCAGATCAAAGTACTTTTGCACATGAATTTTGGTAGATATACATTTTTTTATTCACTAATATATTATTCATGATTAATAGGCAAGTTTATGGTTAGAGTTGGTTAAAGACTGATTTGGATAATTCTATATAACTTGGCGCCGGAACTCAATCATATTAACTAGTTGCAATTGATTATTAGAAAACCTTTTATATACAATTTTAAATCCGTATATTTGTTTTAATACATATAAATATAGAAATTTCTCATTAAGAAAAAATAAAAATTTACAAACTTATTCGTTGATTGAATGTCATGATTAATTTACAAGAATGATGTTTATAATAACGATAAATATTACGAAAACCACGTTCTTTGAGGGTGCATTTATAGCAGCTTGACTGTACACTTTCGATGTTACGCTAGGTATATAAGGACTGATATAAACGTCTTTTATGTCATACCTAATGGCACATTTTTTTTTTTTTTTCAAAGAAAAAAAATATATAATTAATTTTTAAAAAATAATGTTTTAAAAGCAATAAAAAATCTCTTGAAATACGCGATTTTTACCCCATTGTTTTTAAAACTTGTCTTAATTTTGGACCGATCGGACCGCCAGTGTAATTACCACCAATAGACATATAATCACCAAGTGTCAACCCCGAACCTTGTTTATATGTCATCAAAAAATCAGAAGTATTCATATAAGTTTTATAATCTACATGACCGAGACTCGATCCCGTTTGGAACGGATTTAGGGTGGTTTCAAGTACAATGGCTTCGCTTGAATCATTCGCATTTTTAGGTAAAAATCCTAAAGAGAAAGGAATCGTTGCGGTTTTCAACATCATTTGGGATTGAAGATATTGTGGAGAAGATTTAAATTTTATAATAAAATCTTTTGGAGTTTCATAAAATTTTCCCTTTTCGTTTACTATTGTATTGATTACAGTCGTGATGTTTGATACGTATTCCCCGGATGATAAAAAGATCAAATATTTATCAAATATATTTTCAATGAATCCATTAAATATCATTCCTGAATTTTCATTTAACTCTCCTTCAACGCTTGGAATTGGAGTTAATCCTTGCGGATTGACAAAATCGAAAAAGTCATTCCAACTTGAATAAAATCCCAATCCATGAATCAGTTCATGTAAAACTACTAATTGAAAGTCCGCCTGATTAGGTTTGATTTGTGATTCATCTCCCTCAAACCAATAATCCGCTTCTGAATTAAATTTTGCCAAAATATCAAAAGGACCAAAATCTGGATGACGTTCAAATGGTAATTGTTTAACCAAAGCTTGAGGGTAATGTCTCTCTACACCTTCTTCATCCATCAATGCTATTGTTCTTGCCGGATTCGCTCCACCTAAAGTAAATTAATTTTTTAAAAAAAAAAAAAAAAAATGGGGAAGGACACGGATGGAATTTTTTTTTTAATTCACGTACCAGCTACGATCTTATTATCATTGGAACATTGATTATCAGTTTTACAAAAATCATAAAACGAAGCATCAACTGTTATAGGATTCCTTAGCGATATGGTTGCAACAATGATCTGACCAGCAGACTCAAAGCTTTTTTGAACCTTATCACAAAGCTTTTTATCATCGATTCCACACGTGAAATTTATTTGAAATTTATCATTAGAAGATTTCCTTTTTGTTTTTAATGATCTCGTAGAAAAATTACAATTTACGGATATTCTTTGATGAAAGTTTAATGAATTTGGATGATCAAAACATTTTATTGATGATGTTTGATTTGGGGAAATTAAGGTTGCGATGAAAAAGGTTGAAATCGTGATGAATTTTAACGAATGCTTCATCCTATAGATGAATATGAATAAATGATCGTATTAAGGGGAAAAGGTAGAAAGAAAGAATTAATGTCTCATATATTCAAGAAGATTAATAGGTTGTGCGTCCGTGCTTTCCAATTCGTATGACGTGACGTTGATTGTACTAACCGAATTTATCTGTGGCGTACTTTGTTCACCTTTTTTTTGACATCATACATTTTAGTAATTTGTGGCTGATAATTCATTGTTACATTTGTTACATTTAAAAATTAATTTAAACAAATATTCGAATTTTAATGCTTGCGCCGAAAATTGATACAAATCTTAAATGTAAAACGTAAAGATCGGCCTTCCATTGGAAAATTAAAATATTATTTATATTTTATTGAGACCGACACACCAATGATATTAATTGAAACTTGCAAAAACGAACCTTTGATACAAGGTGAGTTCTAACTTTTGAAAAAAAAATTTCTCAAAAACGTTTAATTTTTCTTGAATAATAATCTAAATTTAGAAGCACGATCATGTAAAAACCCCCCAGTGATTGACATTGTACAAGGGTTACCGGATCTTGAGCCTTGGATCGATAATCTTCTTACTAACACATCCTTAATTACCATATTTCGTATCAAATCAAATCAACTCAACTTTGTTTGATAGAAAATGTCATGGAATGCACCTTGATTGACACAATAAAGAGCCAGAAAAAGCAACTAGAGAAATAATCACGATAATATATATTTATATAATTTTCCAATCACATGTAAATTAAAGTGAAAAGAAGGGATTGAAGACGTGCTTTCGGTGGTCTGATCAAATATGGAAATAATTCACATATTGGCATAATGATGCTGAAATCTAGAACCAGCTTTTTTTATGTACCGTACAATACATAAATAAATAGATAAAATTGTTGTTTGGAATCCTTGAACACTCTGTAATTATTTAAAAATTCACATTTTTAATTTTCCACATTTTGTCTCGCTTCCAAAGAAATTATGCCGGTGCGTTTATGAAAGATTACCAAAGTAAAAAAAAAAATAAAAACTAATATATACTGATATATACTTTTTTATTTTTAAAAAAAAATTCGTAGTTGACGGTAATGAATCAAGAAACAAGTCAAGTCCATAACAACGGCAACCCACAAATCGAGGAAAATTACATTTATGAAGAAAGTAATAGAACTCGTATAGTAGCACTCGCGGTGCGAGAAGCTTGTTATGTGGCAAATTATCATAAGCAACATGATTGGGACTCTGCTTGTCAACTCATTTTTCACAATAAATTGTTGACTTTCTCCGAAAAAGCTATGATCATTACTCTATTTCAATGTAAACAATGTAAATAATAATTTCATTGATATGATTTTATATACATTTTTTGATCGTTTGTTGAACATATTATTATTATTTTTTTTTTTATTAGAATATGAATATTATTCGCGGATTTTCTCTTTCTCTTTTTTTTTTTTTTAAAAAAAAAAAAAAGGAAATAAATGTTCAATTGAACATTCCAACAACAAACAGCGTTATTATTCATCATCAAGACGAAATCAGTGGATCGGAAAATTTTATTTTGACATGTGTTATTCTAGACCATGCAAGGGTCCTTCAATAAAAGATACATTTTTGGCAAATTGCATAAATCAATTCGAATGTCACGCGTTGATCACATTTGTGGCTCATTACGAGCCAGGTTTCATTTTTTTTTTATTGATATTGTGCTGAATTGTTCCCGGTTTAGCAGATTGGGAACAAACGACTCAAGAAATTTTATCAATAATTTATAAAATTAAAGAATGTTATCTAATGATGGATTCATTGAAAAAACATAAATATATTTTATTATTTTAAATTTACTATGACATTTCGTTCTAGTCGTTTTCACATGAAAAAAAAAATTGTAATATCAAATTGCAGAGTTTATATGATTGCTTTTTTTTTTTTAAAAAAAAAAAAATAAATCAACATTTTTATTTATTAATTTACAAAAAGTCCTCATCCACCATATTCAAATCAACACAAAAAATATATATATATATGTATAACCCATTGTCTCGATAATGTAATAAGAACATGCTAATTACGTTCACGAAAAATCACAAATAGAATTCATAATTCGAAGTTTAAACAAAGTTGAGTTCGATAGTACAAAATTTATTTGTCATTTATGAAACTGTTACATAATTAACCTTGTACGCCATTTGGTGAAACAAGTACTTGAGCACTAATTTAGGTTAAAAAAGTTATGATTTCGACCAAATTTATTAATGCATTTTTCAAAGAATAATAAACATTGGCATGTAATGTAAGTTTTATTGCCAAGACATATTAATAATTAGAACATATGCAATGTTCAATGAATGTACAGACACACGATAAAGAGAAGTTTATGGTCACTCAGAAATTAATTTTGTGAAGAAACGAAATCCTTGTTTCCTTTGGCTAAATTGATTGGCCAAAAACCAGACGCAACTGCTGCTTTATATTAATCTTTTTTTTTGTTTTGTTTACTGCGCTTTTCGTGGATTACAATATTTTGTAAGACCACGAAATGCATGGCAAAACACGAATCAGCAAATGACTTCTACTACGGAATTATGCAATGAAGCAAAAAAATAAATAAATAGCAAATACAATATAGGTAAAAAGGAGATTTTGTTACTACTTAATTTATTTGATTTTTTTTTTTTTTTTTTTTTATTATTATTTTATTTATTTTATTTTATTTTTTTTTTTTGTCATTTATTTTTTCTTTTCGGAGAAAACAGTTTACGAGAGCCTAGTTCTCATAAGCTCTAACGGTATTCGACAATCCTTTAATTATTCTTCCTTCCTTCCTTCCTTCCTTCCTTCCTTCTTCCCTCCTTCTTCCCTCCCCTTCCTCCTTCTTTCATTCCTACCTTCTTTTCACCGTACCTCTCTTTATCATCATTTTTTTTTAAAAAAAAAAATAAAAATAAAAAGATTTTTGGTTTAGATCTGTAGACCAGACCTTTTTTATAACAATGAAAGTTGATTCACTAGTGATATTTTCATTATTAGCATTTTCAAGAATTCTTGGTACATTATCACAATGCTTTGATTATCCAAATCCTTTAAATAGAACGTATAAAATATCCACCACATGTCCAATGGAAAAGCAACAGAAATCCATAAAATTTGCCACATCATATTCGCAACAAAGTGGGGAAAATATGTTTTTGTTAACATTTACATGTGGAATACCGGATGTAGCTCTTTGTGATAAAGCGAAAAATGCATTTGAATCGGCTGGTAAAATCATCTCATCCACTTTACAACTTAATACGCCGATAAATTTAAATGCCAGTTTCTTGGACTTTTGCAAGACATTGGGAGAATGTCCAAAAGGTGGATTTGTAACGTTAGGAGGGGCAACTCCCGCAAGAACAATTCCATTACAAGACAATGATGGGTTAGTCAGATTATATCCTCAAGCGTTGGTAAAACAATTTCAATTTAAGCAACATCCTTCCTTCGGACCTTTTGATATTACAGCGTTATTTAACGCCGTGGGGGCAAGTTATTGGTTTGAGGGAGATCCTCCGATATCACGTGAACAGCAGGATTTTTTATATGTGGCAATACATGAGATGATACATGGATTGGGATTCGCGTCAGGGTGGGAAGATTATGTGAACGAAACCCCCGAAGCGTTGACACCGGAAATTTCAATATCCGGGAATCCATTGAAACAATTCATGTTTGAAGGATTTTTAGAATCGGCATTTGATAGACATATCATTCACATCCCGACGGGAAAAAGGCTGTCGGCATTCACAGGAGAGTTAAATAAGTTTCAAAATGCCTTTGGAGTGAACTTTCAAAGCGATATAGATTTTATAACAAAATTTCGTAGTTCACCTCAATATCAATTGGCAAAAGAGGTCATGAGTTATTCTATCGTGCACAATACTTTGGGATTCTTACCTCGAGGAACCACAAAGGCTGATGATGCCATCATTTTAGAAACTGGTTTGGTACCTTATCAGCCGGGTTCGAGCGTAAGTCATGTAGATTTCAAAACCTATAATAATACCATTGATTTTCTCATGAAATATTTGGCGGATCACGGAGCCGATTTGAAAACTTTAATTGCTATTCGTAATGGAAATAATTATGGGGAAGTTAAGACCGTCATAAGTCCAAAATTGAAACTCATCTTGGAAACGATAGGGTGAGCATTTTCGAAGAATTTGAGTACGCTAATCGTTGTGGTGGTAAGATGATTAACCATCTTTTTTTTTTTTTTTTTTGGTAGATATTCCACGCCAGACTATACAAATCCATATAAACCAAGTGTCACGATAATTGGAAACAATTTTGATCCAACGGTGAATGAACCAATAGAACCGGGAAATGCAAATGAAAAAGCTATAAACAATAGTCATAAAAAATCAAATGCTGATGTTAAAACCAACAAATTAGATTTCTGGATGATATTGATCGTTAATTTATTAATTTTAATAATAATGCGTTGAGCTGACCAAAAAAAAAAAAAAAAATAATAATAATAATCAAAATTTATTGGGTGTAAATAATAATATTATACTTAATCTTTGGGACTATTTAGACGACTTAATTTTTTTTCTTTGATAATTAATTTTTGAAAATTTTTTTTTTTTTTTTTTTATAAAAAAAAAGGTATATGATTAATCATTATATATAGCATTAATTGACATGTGATTACGATCAATGAACGTTTGTTTGAAATTGAAATTGAGATGGATGATGACTTTGGTTTGATTGGATTATTAGCTATCGTATATCCGATGGAATTTAATACCCCAAGTAATTTCGGACCGATAGCGTTACCGGTACGATTACCACTTTTTCTGATGATTTCATTCATTGGTACGCCTTTCAATCCGGTGTATGTCATCAAGAAATCCGAATCAGTAGAATACGTGGCAAGGTCTGCATGAACAATACTTGTTCCCGGTATAAAAGTGTTAAGACTCGTCTCTAATATCAATCCATCATCTCGAATGTTTGTTGATCCTTTCGGTAAAAAGATTAAAGAATTTCTTATGGTGCTTAATGATAGCGCTTCTTTAGCCGCATCAAACTGTGAAGAATTTTGTAATTCATTATAAAAACTTGATAATTGTGTAAATTGTTTATTTCTACCCGAGAATTGATTTAATTCGTCAGTCAACGTAGACAAATCATCTCGATCGTCGTCATGATTCATCACGATGAATTTATCAAATATAGTTTCGTAAAATCCCGTAAACTCAAATGATCCATCTGGTAGACCGGGAGGAACGTTAGATCCCGTTACAACAAAAGGAGTTAAACCTCTTGTTGTCGTTTGTAATTGCAAGTCAATATGATTTTTCCAACTTGAAAGAAATCCTAAACCATGTATAAGTTCATGCAAAACGGTATATAAAAGTTCATGTTGACCTTCTTTTATAGATCCTGTATCATCAGGGAAATACCAATCTTGCAATGAATTAAAATGTGCTTTTATGTCTGAATCTGCGTACCCTGCCATTTGTGATGTCAACTGCATTTGTTTTACCAATGCTTGTGGATAAAACCTTTCCTTATTATCATCATCTGTTATTGAAATTAATCTGGTCGTGGCTGCCGCTCCTAATACATTTGGATCCATTTGGCTAAAAAGGGCTTCAACGATGATGGGCGTATGAAGCACGAGAGAAGTAGTAATTATATCCCCTGCCGTTTTGAACGAATTTTCAACTTTTGCACATATTTCTTGATCATTGATTTGACAATCAAATTTCACCTGAAATAGGTCATCATTATCATTTAACTGAAAATTATCATCGAGTACGTTATCATTTTGTTTCAAAGAACAGTCAACTATTGATGATTTACTTAAATCCATTGGATCATGAAAATCCATACATATCGAATATGTTTGATACGACATAAAAGAAAGCGTAATTGCCGTCAAGAGGACAAAAGACAACATATAGTTCATTTCGTTTAGCGAAAAAAAAAAAATAAAATAAAAAATAAAAAAATAAAAAACAATTTTTTTTTAAAAAAAAAAGAATATTATATATATATATATTTTTATTATATTTTATTATATCGGACGTGTTTCATTCATTTATTAGGAGATTTCGCCAAATAAGGTAATTGTTGGATTTTACTAATTAGAATCACATTCTGATTAACTAATTAATCCTTATTCTATTATTACAGGTAAAATATCCATGGGAACCGATGAACCATCATCATTTACCACTTCATTTGGAGACGCAGTGACGATTCTTCATTTACTTCCTTGACTGGAGTATCAATTTCTGAATTTTCGTTTGCTGTAGAATTTTCATCAGCATCATCCATAAAAACTTCATGATTTTCACCAAAGGATTTCCATTGACTTTCTTTTTCCTTATCCAATTCCTCTATCAATGTTTGAGCAAATGTAACGTCAAGTTTTCTCCTTTGACGAATAAGATCGGCACCCCCGCTTTGTACTCTGTCCAACTTATCAAGTAATTTCGTAATTTTATCTTCATATTCTAAAAATCGTTTATTTTCGATCGAGATCGGTAGAACTTGTCTTTCATGTTCTTTATCAAATGTTAAGGTTCCTATATGTTTCGATTTTTGAATTTCTTTTAATTCGTCTTCAATCGTATGTAGTTCATGTAATTTATTTAATATTTGACAAATTCGTTTCTTTTCCGTTTGACGTTTGATAAAATTGAATATTTTAAGTGCCGCCTGAGACTTGTCGATCGTAGATTTTGTTTGTTCTTCACCTCCATTGATTTTTATTTTAAAGGATTTTCCTGGCTCATAATTTGAGGTGTTTGGTCGCTGCGTCCGTTGTTGATCCCTTGCGTTATGATCATAAAATCTTTTCCATTGTTCTTTCTGTTTTAATCGTTCCTGTAATAATCGTCTTTCTTCGTCATCGTCAACTGAATAATTTTGTGGTGTATAAGTCTCGAGATGATTGCATAATGGATTGGAGTTGTAATGGTAAAAAGAGCATGGAAATGAATTTTGTGTTGGTTGATAAAATCTTCTCGTATAGAAGGATGAAATCCTTGGTTCGTAATAAGGATAATGATAAGCTACCATCTTTTGGATCAGTAATTTGAATTATTTGTTCAAAAAGTCAAAAAAAAATGATTTCTGCTACATTAATTACATTTTTTATAGAGATATATATGTATTTGATTTTGCTAGAAATTTCTACAATAATTCGACGACTTTTTTTCTAGAGAATTTTAGACAAAATTTTTTGATTGTTCTAGAACAATTTCGGCATTTATTATTTTTCCATGACCCACGATCAGCCGTCCGCATTAAAATTTTAATTAAAATAATACAAATTGACTCATTTTTTCTTTCAATCAATTCTATTATTTGTAAGTCTATTTCTAGTTCTTTCCTGGTTTTTTGTTTTATTTCCAATTCTTAATAGTCCTTTTGAATAAAATTCATGAATTAAAATAATATATATAAATAACGCAAAATAGCTTTACTTTAAATAATATTCCAATCATTTCCAAAATTTAAAACCCGATCACATTTTTATTAGAATACTCTAGAAATATGCTGTTTACATTTTTAATCAAATTTACAAGGAGAAATTTAAATTGCGGCTGTATGGTCTTAGAAATTAACATCCTACTTTATTTATCACGATGGATAGAATTAAGTTAATTCAAAACGATTCTTTTCGGTTTTGGAAGGTAATGCAAAAATCTCAACATTGATCCATAATTAATTTACTAGAAGCTGGGCTGATGATTATCCCGTGTCGAAAAGGTATGATGTAATTTTTATTTACCATTTGCGTCTGAATTCGAGAAAATATTTCCTAAATGTCATAGGTCATTTCCATCTTTTTATTAATTACCTAATTGAATTAAATCGATACCTCTATATAGAATATTGTAAGTAGAGAAATTTGGATATCTTACAGATGAACTCACTGATGAATATACACGACCAAGCGATGAACTCGCATATCCAACAGTTGAGCACACAAATTCATACACAAACAATGTTTTGTCAACGAATGATCGCATAAAGGCCTTGGAATTTGTAATTTTAACAAGAATACTTGTATAAAATCTGTGATATAACAAAAAAAAAGCATAGTAGAGAAATTTTGGCTGAAGAAATTCTTAAAATTTTTAATTTAGTTGGAATAAAGAATTTGTGGAAATGTTAAAGTAGCGACTTTCTACGTTTGTAGAAAGTAGTAAAAAAAAAAAATTACTAACAACACTTCTCACTGCTTTAGTACTAAAATAAAGAAAGAACTTTTACTTCTTCACGTTTCGAAAAATATTTTCTCGTATTTTTTTTTTTTTGTTTGGGCTATGGTTAAGTTTATTCCGGTTGAAGGATCCAGCGAATATCGCCGTCAATTATAAAATCCATATCTGATTAAACACAAAATAAAAACTATTCTATTTAGGGAATGAAATCGATTCAAAAAAAGTATCAAATTTAAAAATACTGCAATCACTAATTTGTAAAAAAAAAAAAAAAAAAAATAAATGCTAAAATTGCTACACCAATAAACCTTAATGTATAAAATTATCTGCTTTTTTTGAGCCATTTTCAGATGATTTCGGATACTGTTACGATTAAATGCAAATTCCGGTCCGAAATCTTCATAATTTCGTTTGAAGATCGCTCTTGATAAATGCAGTTAGTCCCTTTGACGATCATTTGCCAGTTTGTCA